CCCCAGGGATGGCGAGGTCTAATTTGGGTCCGCCCGTGGCGTGCTGGCCCCCCAAGGCCTCGAAAATGGCGACAGTTTCGCAGATCGCAGCCCCCCAGGGAGGCGAGGTCTAATTTGGCGCGTGGCCTCACTGTGCTGGGCCCCCCAGCAGGCCTCGAAAATGGCGACAGTTTCGCAGATCGCAGCCCCCCAGGGATGGCGAGGTCTAATTTGAATCCGCGCGTGGCCCTCACTGTGCTGGGCCCCCCAGCAGGCCTCGAAAATGGCGACAGTTTCGCAGATCGCAGCCCCCCAGGGATGGCGAGGTCTAATTTGGGTCCGCCCGTGGCCCTCACTGTGCTGGGCCCCCCAGCAGGCCTCGAAAGTGGCGACAGTTTCACAAATCGCAGCCCCCCGCAGGCAAGACAGGAGGAGGCAGGCAGGAGGCAGGAGGGAGGCGGGAGGAGACGCGCGAGCAGTGCTCTATTCAAAACGAATACCCAACCAAGGAGGGTTGGGAAATAACAAGTGACAGAAGTCGTAGTGATAGTAGTAGTAGTAATAGCAGTCGACGTAGTTATAATAATAGTATTATTGTTATTATTATTAGTAGTAGTAGTAGTAGTAGTAGTAGTAGTAGTAGTAGTAGCAGTAACAATAGTACTAATAATGGTAGTAGTAGTAGTAGTGGTAATGTTAGTAGTAGTAGTAGCAGTAGTAGTAGTAGTAGTAATAGGAATCGTATGTATTAGTGGTAGTAATAGTAGCATTATTATTCGTAGTATAGTAATAGTAGTAGTCGTAGTAGTCGTAGTAGTCGTAGTAGTCGTAGTAGTAGTAGTAGTAGTAGTAGTAGTAGTAGTAGTAGTAGTAGTAGTAGTAGTAGTAGTAGTAGTAGGTAGTAGTAGTAGCAGTAGTAGTAGTAGTAGTAGCAGTAGTAGCAGTAGCAGTAGTAGTGGGACTAGTACTAGTAGTAGTAGTGGTAATACTAGTAGTAATACTAATAGTAGTCGTCGTAGTCGTGGTCGTGGTCGTAGTCGTAACCGTCGTCGTAATCGTATCCGTAGTACTCGTAGTAGAAATAGTAGGTAGCGGAAGCGGTAGCGATAGAGGTAGTAGTAGTAGTAGTAGTAGCAGTAGTAGGAGTAGTAGTAGTAGTAGTAATAGTAGTAGTAGTAGTAGTAGTAGTAGTAGTAGAAGTCGTAGTGGTAGCTATATAGTAGTAGCCACAGTAGAAATAGTAGTAGTAGTAGTAGTAGTAGTAGTAGTAAAAGTAGTAGTGATAGTAGTAGTCGTAGTAGTCGTAGTAGTAGTAGTACGAGTACGAGTACGAGTACTAGTAGTAGTAGTAGAAGTAGTAGTAGTAGTAGTAGTAGTAGTAGTAGTAGTAGTAGTACTACTAGTACTAGTAGTAGTAGTAGTAGTAGTAGTAGTAGTAGTAGTAGTAGTAGTAGTAGTAGTAGTAGTAGTAGTAGTGGTAGTAGTAGTAGTAGTAGTAGCAGCAGCAGTAGTAGTAGTAGTAGTAGTAGCACTGCTAGTAGTAGTAGTAGTAGTAGTAGTAGTAGTAGTAGTAGTAGTAGTAGTAGTAGTGGTATTATTATTATTATTATTATTAGTAGTAGTAGTAGTAGTAGTAGGGGTAGTAGTCGTAGTCGTAGTCCTAGTCGTAGTAGTAGTCGTGGTGGTTTCGGTAGTGGAAGTGGCGGTGGTAGTGGTGGTGGCAATCGTAAGCGAACCCCTGCCGTGGATCACGGGCGAAGGGGAAGGGGTAAACCCGCCCCCGAAGGGGACGAAGGGATGTGAACACAGGAGAAGATCACAACCACTCACCTCAAAGGGCTGGTGAGACTAGCCTTGCCCCATAAAACCATCATCCTCCACCCCCCGCCCAGGACTCGTCGACCTGAGCCAGGAAACGGGCCTGCAGGAGGCCAAGGGGGAGTAGGGTGCATGAGGGCGTCGGCCTGGGCCGAGTGGAGGACGTCGGTGTTCGGCACGCGGGCGGCATGCTGTCTATAGCCATTGCAAGCGGCGGCGACTGGCCACGCATCTGCAGGCGGCGGTACAACAGAACAAGTGCTCGACACCGCATCTGCAGGCGGCGGTACAACATAATCGTTGAGCGTGCCTCCCGCGTGCCTCCGAGCGTGCCTCCCGCGTGCCTCCCGCGTGCATCCCGCGTGCCTCCGAGCGTGCCTCCCGCGTGCCTCCGGCGTGCCTCCCGCGTGCCAGCGGCGTACCTCCCGCGTGCCTCCCGCGTGCCTCCGAGCGTACCTCCCGCGTACCTCCGGCGTACCTCCCGCGTGCCTCCGGGCCCGCCGTACCTCCCGCGTGCCTCCCGCGTACCTCCCGCGTGCCTCCGAGCGTGCCTCCCGCGTGCCTCCAGCGTACCTCCCGCGTGCCTCCGGGCCCACCGTATACCTCCCGCGTGCCTCCCGCGTACCTCCCGCGTGCCTCGGCGCACCTCCCGCGTGCCTCCGGGCCCGCCGTACCTCCCGCGTGCCTCCCGCGTACCTCCCGCGTGCCTCCGGCGCACCTCCCGCGCACCTCCCGCGTGCCTCCCGCGTACCTCCCGCGTGCCTCCGGCGTGCCTCCAGCGTACCTCCCGCGTACCTCCCGCGCGCCTCCCGCGCGCCTCCTGCGCGCCTCCCGCGCGCCTCCCGCGTACCTCCCGCGCGCCTCCGAGCGCGCCTCCCGCGCGCCTCCGGCGCGCCTCCCGCGGCCGTCTCGGCGCGCCGCCTCAACGCCCGAGGACCTACATGCATGGGCCTGTCCAAGAAGCCACCCAGATGCCCCCAACATGAAATTCCAGGGCCCGAGCGATTTCAGACCGAGCCGTTAGGAGGAGCTTGAACCTTCCAGGGACCGAGCCTTCCATTTTAGATCGAGCTCTCCAGGGGCCGAAGCCATCTCAGCGTGAGGATCGGCCGATCTTTCGGGGCGCTTGACCCGAGCGGGCTTGCAGTAGCTACGTTAGCCATGATCCCCTTCGTGCTGTTTTCGCTCTCGTTCCTCTCGTGCAAAGCGATGGGCATGTCGCCTGAAGAAACGCGGGGGCGAGTGAACGCACGGCCCATTGAAGGCTTGCCAGATTGGTCTACTGCGACGCCACAGCTCGGGAATTTGGGACGGCGACTTCGCGCGGCCGCCCCGTGCATCGGCATCGATGGGTGCGGCAGGGCGCTATCGCATCTAGGGGTGCCTCAGATTTCAAAGCGTGCACGCTTCGCTAATCCCCACCAACCCATCCAACAGCAGTGACTCGACGAAGGGCTGCGGACTTTAGTGGGAGTGGTAGGTGTAGTAGTAGTAGTAGTAGTAGTAGTAGTAGTAGTAGTAGTAGTAGTAGTAGTAGTCGTAGTAGTAGTAGTAGTAGTAGTAGCGTAGTAGTAGTAGTAGTAGTAGTAGTAGTAGTAGTAGTAGTAGTAATAGTAGTCGTAGCAGTATGTAGTAGTAGTAGTTAGTAGTAGTAGTCAGTAGTAGTTAGTAGTTAGTAGTTAGTAGTAGTAGTAGTAGTGTAGTAGTAGAGTAGTAGTAGGAGTAGGTAGTAGCGTAGGAGTAGTATGTGGGGACGAAGTACTAGTAGTAGTAGTCGTAGTAGTAGTAGTAGTTGTAGTTAGTAGTGGTAGTATAGTAGTAGTAGTAGTAGTCGTGGTCGTAGTTGTAGCAAAAACCAATGTAGTAGTGGTTAGTAGTAGTAGTAGTAGTAGTTGTAGATTCGTAGTAGTAGTAGGTAGTAGTAGTAGTAGTAGTAGTAGTAGTATCGTAAGTCGTGAATTAGTCGTAGTCGTAGTCGTGAGTCGTAGTCGTAGTCGTAGTCGTTAGTCGTTCGTTAGTAGTAGTAGTAGTAGTAGTAGTAGTAGTAGTAGTAGTGGTAGTAGTAGTAGTAGTGGTAGTAGTAGTAGTAGTAGTAGTAGTAGTAGTGAGATTGGTCGTAGTAGTTGAAGTAACCGTGGTAGTAGTAGTAGTAGTAGTAGTAGTAGTAGTAGTAGTAGTAGTAGTAGTAGTAGTAGTAGTACTAGTCGTAGTCGTAGTCGTAGTCGTAGTCGTAGTAGAAGTAGTAGAAGTAGTAGTAGTAGTAGTAGTAGTAGTAGTAGTAGTAGTAGTACTAGTAATCGTAGTATCAGTGGTAGTAGTAGTAGTAGAAGTAGTAGTAGTGGTAGTATTAGTATTAGTAGTAGTAGCAGTAGTAGTGGTCGTAGATAGTAGTAGTAGTAGTAGTCGTAGTCGTAGTCGTTGTCGTAGTAGTAGTTAGTAGGTAGTAGTAGTAGTAGTAGTAGTAGTAGTAGTTAGTAGTAGTAGTAGTTAGTAGTAGTGGTAGTAGGTAGTAGTATAGTACTAGTAGTAGTAGTAGTAGTAGTGTAGTAGTAGTAGCAGTAGTAGTAGTAGTAGTAGTAGTAGTAGTAGTAGTAATGTTAGTAGTAGTAGTAGTAGTAGTAGTAGTAGTAGTAGTAGTAGTAGTAATGGTGTAGTATTGTATTAGTAGAGTAGTAGTAGTAGTAGTAGTAGTAGTAGTAGTAGTAGTAGTAGTAGTAGTAGTAGTAGTAGTAGTAGTAGTAGTAGTAGTAGTAGTAGTAGTAGTAGTAGTAGTAGTAGTAGTAGTAGTAGTAGTCGTAGTAGTAGTAGTAGTAGTAGTAGTAGTAGTAGTAGTAGTAGTAGTAGTAGTAGTAGTGGGTAGTAGTTGTAATATTAGAAGTAGTAGTAGCGGTAAAAGTAGCAGTAGTTAACATAATAAAACTCGTCGTCGTAGTAGTGTAGAGACGACAGATTCTGTGACACTGAAATGTATAACGGTAGTTGCAGCCAAGCATGGCTGGTTTCCCGCGCGCGCCACCCCCGCCCGCGGGGTGGGATGCGGCGCGGCGCCCGTGGCAATGCTGCGCCCGCGCTCGCCTCGGAGTGTCCGAGTGGAGGGCTGCCTGGTGAGTGCCCGAGGTGGCGCAGCTCCCGCTGGGACCCAGCGGGGGCTGCAGCGGCCGCTGGCGCGCCCCAGCGGCCCCGCACCCCGTGGGTTGGGTGTCGGCGCTTGGCGCCCGCAGCCCAGCGCTTAAGCTCGTCGCCCTGGGCGGCGTGCTGTTTCTCATTTGGCCCGACGGGCCGCCGTGGGCGATGGAAACCGCGAAACTCGGATGTCGGCAACGCACAACGGCCGTTCCAGCCGTTGCGCGCTGCCGTCATCCGATAAGATCGGGCAGGCCAGAACCATGTCATCCGCGTGGCCCCCAGGTTCGCGACGTATTCCCGCGTCGGCTGCGGGCGCTTCTCCGCGTTCTACGCGGTGGAACATCAGTGGAATCGTTGAGGCGTGGTGGTGATGATGGTAATGGTGATGGTGATGGTAAGTAACCATCCATCGTAGACGTAGTCGTAATAGTCGCCGTCGTCACCATCACCATCGCCATCGCGCGCCCATTTCGGCGCACCCCGCACACAGTTCGCAGTCGGCGGTCCCGCGGTTGCCCCGTGGTTGTCCCGCTGGTCGGTTGTCCCGCGGTCGTCCCGCGGTTGTCCCGTGCGTGCGTTTTCTTATATTAGTTGACCCGTTGTTGCCCCATGTGTATATATATTACAAGCGAACTCGCGCCCACACAACTCCAAACAAACGATCTGCCTCGGAAGTGCGGCCTGCCATTCTCGTCAACAAACGCTTGCAAACTCACCGATTGAGAAACACCCATCGCGCCAAGAAGTATGATATGTCACCGAAAATTGACATTTTTGTTGGCATCATCGGCTGCTGGTATCTCTCCCCCTCCAAAGATCAATCTATTGCACATCATCTATGACGGCGCCATCGCCGAAGATGAACCAGTCACTCCCCATAGCACCGAACAATACCCATCCACATCTGACTGCAATATCTAGTCCACGGGCTCTGCCATGCCGTCCCTGGAAACATAGTCCACCTTCACCTGGAGGTTGTAGGGCACCTTGAACCGCATCCTCCTGACAATGTAGTCCTGACCTGGGACTGGGTCAATCTGTGAGGTCATCATGCGCCTGAAGACCGACAGGACCTGCTCAGGCACATCGTCGCACAACTTGTACACATGAGTAATCTCTTGTTCTTGGACCTCCGTCCGCGGCGGAGCCGACCGCTCTCCTACGATGGTACTTCCACGATCAGCCGCTGTTGAGCGGCCATCGCCTTCTGGAAAAGAATCCCCTCCTGGAGATGCGTCGTCGCCTCCTTCGATGGGTGCTTCGTCTGGCGGCGCAACCTCGCTCTCCTGCGGTGGTGCTGCCGGCGATGGCTTCGGTACCCTGCACCTCAACGAGTCTTGCGGCGGTGCTGACCTGCGCTCTGAGGCGGATCGGCGGCGCGGAGGGCCGAAGCCCGAGTTGCCCGTCTCTGGTGTAGGTTCGCTGTCATCAGACACGACGCTGAGGACGTCCATTGCGTTCTACACAAGGAAGAACGGTCAGCAGAATAGCCACAATGATGACACCAAAGGAAATTGCCCACTGAGCCAAAATGGGCTAATGAGATGGTGGTGATGACCCGTGGACCCTGCCGCCGAACCTAACGCTGGCGAGGACGGCGACGATGGCCCGTGGACCCTGCCGCCGAGCCTAAAACTGGCGAGGACGGTGATGATGACCCTGATGATGGTGAGGACGGTGATGATGATAGCCACCCAGCACGCGCTTCGTGGCCTCAAAGGGGATCCTCCGAAGGCCCAAGTGGCCGCGTCCACATGAGTGGCACTCCCAATGGCCTCAAATGAAGTTCCACCGAGAGGGCCCCTGCGTGAAAGTCAACCGCGGCCCAGACGGCCCAGACGGCCTAGGTGGCCCAAACGGCCCTGGGGTGTGTACGGAGGAGGCGGGGGGGGGTTCATGCAATGGTCATTGTGCCAACCCGCCAGACCCGTGGACCCTGCCGCCGAGCCTAACGGCTGCCGTGGAGCGGCGCGGCGGAGCGCGCGGCCTGGCCCTGCGGGGTTGCCACGGGCACCCTCGAGGGAGGGTGGCGGTTCGGGGGGGGGAGGGGGACGGCTGAAATTATGCGTTTGCTTTTTGGCTACCCCCTGCGCGCCCTTTACTACTACTACTACTACTACTACTACTACTACTACTACTACTACTACTACTACTACTACTACTACTACTACTACTACTACTACTACTACACTACTACTACTACTACTACTACTACTACTACTACTACTACTACTACTACTACTACTACTACTACTACTACTACTACTACTACTACTACTACTACTACTACTACTACTACTACTACTACTACTACTACTACTACTACTACTACTACTACTACTACTACTAACTGACTACTACTACTACTACTACTACTACTACTACTACTACTACTACTACTACTACTACGACTACTACTACGACTACTACGACTACTACTACTACTACTACTACTACTACTACTACTACTACTACTACTACTACTACTACTACTACTACTACTACTACTACTACTACTACTACTACTACTACTACCACTACTACTACTACTACTACCACCACCACTGCCACTACCACTACCACTACCACTACCACTACCACTACCACTACCACTACCACTACTACCACCACTACTACTGCTACTACTACTCTGGCACATCCCGTGGTGTATCCATTGGCACGTTCCGCGGCACCCCTTGGCACGTCCCAGACGGCCCAGACGGCCCTGGGCGGCCAATGCGGCCCAGACGGCCCAAGCGGCCCAGAGGGCCCAGACGGCCCAGACGGCCCTGACGGCCCAGACGGCCCAGGTGGCCCAGACGGCCCAGACGGCCCAGACGGCCCAGACGGCCCAGACGGCCCAGACGGCCCAAACGGCCCAGGCGGCCCAGGCGGCCCAGACGGCCCAGACGGCCCAGACGGCCCAGACGGCCCAGACGGCCCAGGCGGCCCAGACGGCCCAGACGGCCCAGACGGCCCAGACGGCCCACGTAGGGCTCGCGTGCAGCTCGCGTGGGGCTTGTGTGGGGTTCGCGCGGAGCTCGCGCGGGGCTCGCGCGGGGTTCGCGTGGGGCTCGCGTGGGTCTCTCGTGGCGCGGGGCTCGCACGGGGCTCGCGCGGGGCGCCCTTCGTCCACGCGCATTATCTCGCGGGGCGTTCTTGCCGTTGCTCCTAACACAGGAACCCGCGTTATGTTGGGACAATCAGATTCGGGAGGTATTGATTTGGGGCCTGCAGAGGCGTCGAGGTAAAGTTCGGGCCATTGCTGAGCCATGGTAATTGCTGCGGCGTTTTCGCAACGCTATTGAACATTGTTGGAGCTTCCACAACGCATTAGCTCAATGCGGCGGCTCAGCCACGCATTGACGCCTGCAGTTTGTCAGTATCTCAATGCGGCGGCTCAGCCACGCGTTGGCGCTTGCAATTGGTCATTATCTCATTGCGGCACTGCAGCAAGTGGCTCTGTCCCCTATAGCAGCTTGTTTTCTGGTCAGCACAACGCCGTGTCGATACCGCCTACACGCCACGCCCCATGGCGGCAGAGGCCGCGCTCAAGTTCCCCGCCGTGCTGCTGGCCTTCCAGGAGGCGAGAGAACACTTGAAGATCTCCGGCGAAGCCGCTACGTCCGACGACAAGGACCGCGCTGTCAAGGATATGATCGCCATTGTCAACAGAGGCACCTCTCTCTCAATGAAGGAGACTAGCGCGCTGATCGAAACCGCGAATCACGACTTCCTCGACGCCGCCCGCAGGATCAAGGTTGCCCAAGCCGTCAACTCGAAGGTGGTCGGCGTTTCCACAGATCAGAAGAAAAACAAAGACCGTCAGGATAAACAAGTGTGTTGGCATTTTCACAACTACTGCAACGCAGAGTTCTGGGCTACGGCGTGTGACCCCCAGGCGGATTGGAACGCAGTTGCGCAGACGGTCGGTAACTACATGGAGAAACTCGGATTGTTGTGGCCCACAGACCCGACCGTCTTACAGATCACGTGCTCCATAGTGGCGGCGCGGGCACCCCCGAACCGCGCCTTCGTTGCGAACCCCATGGACGTCTACAACAAGAAAGCTGCTATCAAAAAGGAATGCAAACTATTGAGGCGACATGTCGAAATGCCCCACCATGGAGTTGCCAACAACTACCCGGCAACACCCGGTGAGCTTAAGGTGATGTCCGAGGTTGTCTACAATAACGCTTTTCCAGCAGGCGAGTCCGATGTTGTGACGTGCCCCGTCGAGGACCTTCTCGTCAATCGGTTGCGCATGCGCATGGCATGCAGGTCCAATCACTCTTCGATCAAGGACACGTGGGTATCGAACGTGAAGGGGGGCACATACACCTAGAAGAGCATGGGCGCCGAAGTCGGCACGAAAACACAACTTAGGACATGGAAGCGCGGTGAAACATTGCACGGAATGGCGCAGCACAGCAAGGCATGCACAGCAACACACGGGCATGTGCATAGAGGCATGCACCCAGGGCTGGGTCAATCGCGTGATGGATGTCTCGAATGGCGCAACACTCAACACCGATCTGCACAGCTATCACAATGCGTAGCGTTGCATCGCGTGGCACGGCTGTGCGTTTCATGCGCATGGTGTGGGACAGTGCGACATGCTATAGTATGCCATGCCATAACGCAGCGTGTCAGGGAATACCGCACAGTACCGAACCACAGCGGATCGTAGCATACAACATTGAAGCATGAGCAAAGCATGGCGTTTCATTGCGTTGCATTCGAATGCATTGAACTACTCTGCCTATGACTCGCACGCGCCCTAGGGCCCCGAGAGTCTCCCACCTGCCCCCAACCAGTAAAATCCGTTTGATGCTGCATTGGGAAGAATCCGAACTTGCCCAGAGGATACCTTCACGCTGACCGCGCAGGGCGCGCGCTTTGCACTCCCTGGAGCGGGGTCTCAGCTGGCGCCCCCCATGCACGACGGCTTCGGCGGCCACCCCCAAATCGGCCACGGCGGGCGCAGCGGCTACGCCGACCAGGGCGGCAACACGAGCGGGTTCACGATGCAGATCGGACCGCGGAGGCTCGCCATCTGTGGCGCCGCGGCTCCCGCAGCAGCAGTCGCAGTCTCTCCCGCAGCAGCAGTCGCAGTCCCAGACAACGCTCTCCCGCCCGCGGCCCAGCCTGGGCCTGCTCCTGCAGTGCCTGAGAGGGACGTCGAGCCAGTTGATGCGGCGCCAGTCAAGGAATTGGCAAGTGAGTGGAGTGCGCTGGTCGGCAAGGGCAAGAAGAAGAAACGCGCGTCGGTCGAGCCAGAGCCAGCCAAATCAAAGGCCAAAGCAAAGGCCAAATCGAAGACCAAAGCTAAGCCCGCGTCGGCGGCGATAGCGACAACCACAGCCACGACCCCGGTTCGCAGGAGGCCCGCCCCATGCATCAGCACAGCAGCAAAGGGCCACCTTCGATACCCAGGAGTGCCGACAAAGTTCAACAAACCACTCCACGTCGAGGGTTGGAAAATCTACACGAGCTTGCCTACGAAGAGTTGGCGGGTCTACAAGGACGGCAGCACAATCGACAAGAAATTGTTCACGCTTCGCGAATCCCCATCAAAGCTTCCAACAACAGCCGCTCGAGCGCAGTGCGCTGACCGTCGGGCGTTGTCCACTCCTTCTCCTCCGCCTGTTTCTCCTTCCTCCTCCCCCTCCCCCTCCCCCGTCCTCCTCCATGTCGTGCTTCCTCCTCCTCCTCCTCCTCCTCCTCCTCCTCCTCCTCCTCCTGGTGTCATCCTGGAGGTCTCTTGGGGCGTCTTGGCGGGGTCTTGGGCCCTGCGAACGCGCAAGCGGCGCTCCGACAAGCTTGCGCGAAGCTCCTGGGGTGTCTCGGAACGTCTTGGACGGTCGAAAGCGTGTCTTGGACGTGAACCTCCTTGAGGGGGAGGTGCGCGCCCCTCCCCGAAGGGGGAGAAGGGGGGCGAACAGCGGAGTCTCTAGACCACTCACGCCCTGAAGGCCTAAAGGGCTGGTGGATTTTTCTGGGGCGCAGACGGGGGCTCGGGCCGTGCAGCGTGGAAGAGCCTCTGCGAGTACATCGCCGAGGGCTCAAAGTGAGGATTCGATGTAGCGTCGGTGAGCCCAGCGAAAATCAGGGCCTGTGTGTATAGACACTCAGGCGCGGGCTCTCTTGTGAGCTCAAAGTTGCAGGCTTAGACGTGTGCATGCAGAGATGCATCCTTGATATATATATATATATATATATATATATATATATATATATATATATGTATACACATGTATGTATGTATAGATCGGTCGTCTGTTGTGCCATGGCGCTGCGAGTGAGGACTTGGGACTGCCAGCGTACATTTGACCACGCAAAAAGTACAATGTTCCTCGTTTGCGCTGACCGCCACTGGCGCGCCAGTGTGCACGCATGGACGCATGCGCTTGCCCACGCGGGGTATACGTATAGGAATGCAGGAACGGCGGCG